GGCTTCACCATTCACATCTGACTCCCCACTAAGCCGGCCGGGTCGACAGCGCCATAGTCCAGCACACGTCATCTCCGGCCGGGCAAGCTCAGCGGAAGTTGTCCAGCCTCTGGAGGGGTGCCGCGGGCGTCCTCTGCTCTCCTGGGTCACCTCCCTCACGTCTGACCGCTCCTTCGCGCTAGCCTTCGTGCCCAGATCTTACAAATCAAAACTTCAGAGGTCCTGGGGTTCGCCCCTTCTGCATGTCCGTCGACAATGTTAAACAGCCCCTGCACCCTGCCCAGGGCGACAGCCCACGCAGGGCTGGGGGGCCCTTGCCGGGCTGGCTGAACTGGCTGACAGCGACGCCGCCCGCACAGCCTCGGCCCACCCAGTCCCTGCTCACCCACAAGTGACAGGGCAGCCTCCCCAGGGTGCACAGCGCAGGGCTCGCTGGGATGGCCAAGCCTTACGCGCACCTTTCTCCGTACAGCTGAGCGCCCTTGCCCACAGCCACTCCACCCTCCTGGCCTCCACCAGCGCCCCCTTTCCCAACCCCCAAGCTCTGCATGTCCAAAGTCCGGTCCATCCTCCAAGCCAGCTCAAGTGCCACGCCCAGAGAGCTGCCTTTGACGCCTTGGCTGCCAGCCCTCCTCCTGCCTGAGTGAACCTCATCCTAGTACTATAGATGTTGACCATGTCCTTTTGGGGGGCTGAGGCTGGGCCCCATCAGCTTCTCCCCATCGCTGTGGGGCCCCAGCACACACTACCTCAGGAAGCCGAAGTTCGCTTAATCCCTCAGTCCCTGCCCACGCCGCTTTCAGCAGTTGCTGTGTCTCCAAATTAAAGACCCAAACCTTTACACAGTCCGGTCACCTGCACCAGCTCGGGCTCCTTTTCTGTCACCTCAGGATCCTTGTGTTTGCTGTTCCCTTCATCTAGAAAACGGTTGCAACCCCCACGTCTGCACTCAGTCTTAACTCATTTCCTCAAGCAGCTCCACCCTGCCCGTCTCCTCACGGCACTCACTGTCGACAGAGATGACACCATGTGTGCTTATCCGGTTTATGACCTTTTCCCCACCAATCCACAGGCTCCGAGAAGCACCTGGTCTGCTTTGTCACCTTCATGTCATCTGCGCAGTGCCTAACCATACCACTCACCAAAAAGCTGTCAAACAGTACTGATGAACAACTGCGTTAAGATACAGACTGGGGCTCAGACCATACACAATCTGCCTGACTTCCTACAATGCCCTCCAAGGGAAACCGGGAGGCCAGGTAGCTCTCTGAGGCGGGTAAGCTGGCCTTCCAGTCACCATAAGAAGTTCTTTTTAATTAAGAATTGAGAACAATGTAAGTTGTCCTCAAAACCTTCCAATATGACTATTAGACTGAAGAAAGCAAGACAAAAAAAGAAAGAAGCCTCATACCATTGTAATCCCCACAGCTCTCTCGCCACTGGGTCATCAGGAAAGATCCCAACACTCCTTTGCGCTTCCCTCCCTGCCCTCGGCCCCCTGTGCCTCAGGGCTACGGGCAGCTGCTGTTCTGACTGTTTCTTGACCTTTGGTTTGGCTTCTCTATATTCCTCATATAGATAAGTGAGACCATCTGGTATTTATCTTTGTCCTTGTGGCTTTATAAAAAGTACGGTAGATTTCTACAATGGAATACTACTCAGCCATCAAGAAGACAAACTCGTGCCACGTGTGGCAACATGGATGGAGCTAGCTGAAACTAGAGACTTATAAAATAGGATGAAAATGGCCTCCCAACTGCTAGAAGGAAACCAGAGACATCTTTCTTTCATGTGCAGGGCATGGTCCTGAAAGGCCTAACCAACGCAGAATAGTTGGTTCATTTGCTTTAAGAACATTTATCAAGCACCTACTTTAGCTAGTGGCTCATGGTACAATAAAATCCCCTGACTTCCTTGAAGTATATAATCTAAAAGTACAATTTATGGAAAATTAAAAAGACTTTATACCAGTCACATCACCCAAGAAATGTTACTTTGAGAGGATATTAAGTTCCCCGTTAGAAGAGAGACAGATATAAAAACAGAGTGTGAAAGACTATGTTGCCAAGGTGATTTAGAAATTACAACGGGGCCCATCTGGGCCCTTCAGACAAGATGGGCAGGCAGCCTAGACCAGGGCTGACCACACAGGGCAGCTTGCACCCCAGGCAGCCGCGGCCTAAGTGCAGAAATCGAGAGGCACACTTCACACAACCTGAGAGCAACTTGAAAAAAAATAATTGTATGCCTGTTGAATCTAATAATAAAAATGCAAGCTTATATTTTGCATGTTCTAACAATTTACAGTTAATGTATTTTACCAAAGTTGCTAATGGATTGGAAATTTTTTAAAAACTGGTCCTTCACCAAGAAACCCTTTGAAAAGCACTGGACAGCAGGTTCCAGACTACCAAGCAGCTAGTTAAGATGCAAAAGCTCAGGTCCCACCCAGACCTTCTGTATCAGAATTAGCATTTTAACAAGATCCCAGGGGATTCTTTTGCACATTAAAGTCTCAGCAAACATGACCTAGATGATTTCTAAAGCCCCTTAGAAGCCTGAGATTTTATCTTTAACTTCAGTGAGAAAACTAAAGCCCCTGGGTAAGAGCCCACCTCTTGCTCTTGGGGATGGCACCTGTCCATGGCAGAAGGCACGTGTCCAAGGCAACTGGCCAATTAGCAGAACTCAGCCGGCCTAACCGCAGGCCAGTTTTCCAGCACCTTCCCCCAATGACGTCATTGCTCCTGAGACACTTCTTCCACCTTCCACATTCTGTGAGTCTGGAGTCACCACTACTTGTGGTGTCTCCTCAAGGGTAATTGCCCTTAGCCCCTGCTTCTCAGATCCTCCCACCTGCCCACTGCCTGGCTGCTCCATGGACTCTCCAGGACTTCAGAAGGACCCGAGGCTTCAGGGAAAGCAGAGGGCTGCTCTGTGTCCATCAGTGCGCTTGAGAGCAGACAGCTCTCAAACAAGTATAGGTACATTGCAAGGCTACTCCCGAAAGCTGAGAAGGGTCTGTGGCTGAAAACCAAGAGAATTGGAGACTAGGCCAGATGACAAGGAGTCTAGTCTCCAAAACGAAAACCAAGTCGACTTGGGATCTTAGGCGATCTTAGGCCTGAAGGTGGAGGCCCGATTGCTGCCTTTGACTGTCTGAAGAGCGATTATAGGGAGCAAGCAGATGCCAGGTCCTTGAAAGAACCCAGGGAGAGAAGTTCCAGGGAGCTGGACCTTGGCGCACAGACATTACTTTCTGCCAGTCAGTCAGTCAGAGCAGAACCACCTGGCCAGCACTCTGCCCGGTAGGGAGTCCGAGTAGGTACCAGACAGCAGGCGGATGCTGGGACAGACTCGAGAATGGGGGGAGAAGGGAGGTAGCTGGAAGTTCGAGAGCCTTCCGGTTCCAAGGTTTCAGTGCCCTAACATTTTCACAGCAGAGTGACTAAGCTTTGAGAAAAGCGGAGCAAGATCAGGTCCTAGAGGGTGTGATCCTTGCTGGTTGAGACAGACGAGGTTGTGGCAATGGAAGTCAAGACTTCCTAGACTTCCTTTCAAAGGCAGGCGGGGAGCAGGCAAGGTGAGGCCAGTGCCGCCCTCCAGCTGCCACCACCCACTGCAAGGCCCAGCAGCACCTTCCTGCCATACCCACAAGTACCCGCCACCGGACGGCACGGAACTCTGCCCAAAGAGGCAGCGCACCCAGGGTCTGGAGCACGGCTCGAGCCAGGCCGACTGTTACAGGAATTCCCAAATGAGACATTTAATTACTCTGCAACCTTGGAAAGTGAGTGACTCTCTGTGCCTCCGTTTCCTCACATGTAATCCAAGGAGGACAGCACGGTGGATGCAAGAGCAAAACACATCAATCCTCAGCCCCAACGGCCAAAGCACAGCGAGCACATTCCTTGCCAACCCTGAAATGAAATCGTCACCAGAAGCAAGCGCTCAGTGGCCCTGTCTCAAAGAGCCGCTCAGTGGTCACATGCTGCTTGTCCCCTCCCAGCTCAGGGCCATGCCACAGGAGCCTCGGCAGTGCTGGCACACTTCCCGCCACCCGGGCCCTCTAAGAACCAGGGCCCGCGCTCCTCACCCTGCTGAGTCCCACAACCGCCTCCTCAGGTTCTGAGGCCTGAGCCACCCTCAGCCCGTCAAGGGCAGCCAACCGAGAGGCCACGTCCAGGCAAACCATCAGGTGTTTTCTTCCCACCCAGGCACACAGCTGGGCCTCATACCTCTTCTACCTCAGATGCCTGCCAGCAGGATGGGGCTGGTATCCACATGTGCCCTCCACCCCCCACCCCCCACCCCCACCCCGCCTGTCAGTCCCTGGGCCCAGGGCCCAGGGGGCAGTGGGCAGGCAAAGGGCTTCCCACAGCTGAGCAAGAGAGACAGCCCAAGTTAGTGAAGCAACTCAGGCCCAGCCCTGCCAGGACCGAGGTCTGAGCTGCTCTCAAAGGCAGCGGCTATTTACAACTCTGAACTCACTTGTACCTGGGGCCAGGCGCCAGGGAAAGGGGCTGCAGGGTGCCTCATTCCCAGCAACAGAAGCAGCTGCAGAGAAAGAGTTAAAGGAGGAGGGAAGCTCCAGCCATTACCCCATCCTTGTGCCTAGGGCTGTCTGGGGGGAGATGACAACGCTGTCTGCTCTGGCTGGGGGCACTCGTGGCTTTCTGCAGCAGCTGCCGCCCCCCAATCAATTTGCAAGGTCAATGCTGACCAGCTTCCAAAGAGGAACAAAACAATTCCCGACAATGAAGCACGTCGCGCATACACGGCGTCGCAGCCCCCCCCCCAGGTTTTACCCCAGTGCTTCCCTGCCCAGATGCCCACTCTGGGCTTCCAGCAACCCCGCGGGGGAACCCAGGATGGCATCACAGCTGCAGAGCGCTTCTCACGCCGCCTGGCCAAGCCAAGGAGACTCTCCAGGGGAGAGATGCTACCGCCTAAGGAGACTGGGCCTGGGGGAGGGGAAGGAGGGACAGCTCTGTCCTTACCGAGCGCCAGTCACTTCCCGACGGAGCAGGATGAATGACCTGAGACAAGTTGGAGGCTGAGCCCGCGGAGCTCGGCTTCCTCTTCTCTTTCCTGGGTCCCTCCCGGTCCCTCCCGGTCTCTGGTTTGCTCGCTAGCTCGCGCGCACTCGCTCTCCCTCCCTCCCAGCCGCCCGCCCCTCCCTCCCTCCTTCCCTCCCTCCCTCCCTCTCTTTCTTCTCTCCCTCCCTCCCTCCCTCCCTCCCTTGGCTCTCCCTCGCCTGCACCCCCCTGGCTGCCTTTGGGTTCCCCACAGCCTGGTGCTGGGCACGGCGCAGCGTGGGGCTCTGAACAGAGCTGCAAGCTTGGCGTGTGCGGTTGCTGCAGGCAGGACTGAAGTAGTATTATTCTTTAAGCAGGAAACAGGGGGGCTGTGGAGAAGGGCTGAGCAGAGGACGCAGGGGCAAGAGCGGGAGCAAGAGGTAAGAGCTGAGCAGAAGGTAAAGAGGCAGCTGCTGGGCGAAGCTGAGTAGCTGCTGAGACAGAAGTGAGCGCCCTCTCTCCTGGCCATCCCTGTGGGCTGCCTTCTCAGCTCCAAATAGAGGTTTGGAGTGTGTTCACACCCTACCTCTGGGGACAATGAGCCAACAGAAACGACATCAGAGACGCTGTCATCTGAACTCCATTAAGAAGACAGAGTTGCCCCACACCGACCAGGCACCTCCCTGCCACCCCACCGGGAAGCCTGCCCCCTGGCGGCTGGGCCGAAGGGCACCACACAACGCTCTCCTTTCGAGAGCTCTGAAGGGCAGCAAGTGTGCAGGCTACATGTGAGCTTGCACCGGGAGGAGAGGAGAAAACGAGGGAAGAATGGACTCAAAATAGGAAAGAACTGTACTGCCGCGGGCAAGCCCAGAAAGACCCTGTTCAGAGAAACAGCCCCGCGGAGCCGGGCTAAGGCCAAAATAAACAAACTTCGGCCTGGGCCCTGCCTCTAGAAATCACTGCACACGCCCTCTCGCCCACCTGGCCCGCAGCGCCCGCACGGTCATGGGAACGGAGGGAGATGAGCTTTAGCCGCCCTGTCGGGGAATCCAAGCCCCAGGCAGGAAAAGCCCTGGAGGAGGAGAGTCCCCACGCCGGTGAGACGCTCCATGCTGAGTATTTCAGGCCACATCAGTATGGGGGGGGGAGGCGCTGAGGCCATCAGCACTCTGGTGTCGCCTCCATGTAGCGACTAGCCATCAGCATAAACGAAGCCCCGCATACTGCGATTCCCAGCCCGTTTAGTCACAGACCCAAAACGACTAGTCAGGGCATCAGACTGAACGTGCGTTGTGCCATGTGTGTTAAGTCGATGTTGAGCAGCTGGGACATGGTAGACATTGGAATTTTCCCCACAGTGCGCTACTCCCGTGTGAACTACTATCCCACTGGGTTCTCCACAGATTCCCGATACCCTGCTCCGCGCAGTGAGGTGCATAGACGCACACGTTGTGCAGAAAGAGGAAATACAGTTCAGGGGGATCAGTGTTGACCAAGAGCAGCCGGCAACCTGCTGGCCCCAGGGCTGGCTCTTCATCTACGCAAGCAACCCCTGAGGCTCACACAGCACCTGCTTCCCGCAGCGGGCACTTCGGTGTGCCCATTTGTTTGCAAAAACGTCCGCTGGACTCCATAGGTTAGTGAAATGACAAAAAATGGTATGCACTGGTTTCCATATTATTTCCTGACATATTTCCAGCCTAACAAACTAAGCTACACTAGGGAACTTAACACAGCAGGAACCATATTCTCCCAGTCTAGAGGCCACGGGTGTGCAGAAGGCCACACCTCCCACAATGGCTGGGGAGGAGAATCCGCCCATTTCTTTCAGCTTCTGCCCCCCACCCAGGCTTGTGTTGTGAAGTGCCAGTCCCAGCTCTCGAGTCTTCAACCTGCCTTCTCCCGGGGCTCCGCGTGTCCAAACTCCTCCGTGTTTCCTCTTAAAGAGACACTTGGCATTAGATATTACCTGGAGACCTTTAATTACTTCCAAGACCACACATCCAAATAAAATGACACCCTCAGGCTGTGCGCAGACAGGAATTTGGGGCATACAATGTTCAACCCACCATACTCGCTCACTCTTGATTATGTCAAAGATACAAAACAATCCATTCTGAGTCCCAGCATTTTTTAAAGAAGATATTTTTAATATCAAGTACATGAACAAAAACTACTGTTTAAATCATACAGTTCCAGTTTTGTGAACATGAACACAGGGCAAAAATAAACAAAACAACAATCTGAACGCACGGATCAGAGTGCAGTGATGAGAAGAGCGAGGGAATGAAGCTTGGTGACTTCTCCTTCTCAGGAACATCTGGATGGGCCCCAGGTCAGAGCGGTAAGTAAAGCTCGAGAGAAAGTATGAGTGTTGCAGCTGTTAAATGTTTAACTGACTCTCCAGGAAAAAATAAACAAGAGCCTACTTCATGACATTTCCCAAGTAAATACTTCCTGCAAGGCCTACGCCATCAGCAGTGGGGAGACGGTGACCTTGGTTCTCACGGCCCCGGCCTCGGCCTCGGACAGGGCGCTCAGTGACTCGATGAGTGAGAGCAGAGTCCAGAATGAACAAGGAGCTGAACCATGATGAAAGAATGGAAAGAACTACAGAGTGGGGAACCCTAGCCGCTTATAAATGCCCCAAATCTCTGGTGCCATCATACATTATGCATGTGGCGACAGATTGCAAAGAGCACAAATAAAGCTGAAGTAATTAAACAGTTTCGGATCTGCCCACCACACTGTGGGAGAGTTTGGAGTTTCAGTTCAGCCACAGAAATTGTGGCTAATTCACCAAAACAATCAGAGAAAGGGAAAGAAGAGACACTGCAATCCATGAGCCCCAAAGTCCAGGGCATGCCCCAAACTTCCTAGAAGGAGCAGTACGCATAATCTAAACCTAAGAGAAAAGGCGATCCGTGGGGACCTGCCCTGAGGTGGAAATTCCCCAAGTGGGAATCAGCAGAAAAGGACTTGAGGAGAGACAGGAAAGTACTCTCAGCATAAGCCAACAGGACGACGCTCATGGCAGACATAAAGAAACAGTGGGAAAGAATCAGATACATATTCTAGCATTGAAAGCTTTAAAGATACAAACTAAAATTCACTGGGTGGACATAAAACAGATTGGAAATGTAAAAAGAAAAGAGCTAAGATACTTTAAAGGCAAATAGATATTTCTCAGCCCAAGTACAGGGGAAAGACAGAAAAAGATGAACAGAGACTCAGTTATCTGTTGGATATCAAGTCCCAACCTACAGAGGCAGTTGGCAGTCTCAAAAGGCAAAAGCAAAAGAAGAAAAAGTATTTGAAAAGTAAATGCCGGCAATATTTCCAAATATAATGAAACAAAACTTTACAGGTTCAAGTAGTTCAGTGAACCCCAGGCAGCAAACCACACCCATGTACATCACAGGTAAAAAACGGAAAACCAAACACAAAGGGAAACCTCTGAAGCTTGCAGAGAAAAACCATCATGCTGAGGAACACTGCGATTGGCCACTGACTGCTCACTATAAAAGATACCTCTAAAATACTGAAATTATAAATGTCATGAATACAGAATTGAGCAGCTGAAGTTCACAGTGCAGAGGTATAAATTCACTAAAGTCTGTGACCTCATCCTGCAAATGTGTAACACCACCCTTCCTCCATAGCCCAGCACCTCGTTATTAAAGGCCTATTTATAGCTGTTCCTTCTACCTGGCACCTCACGGGGAAAAACCATAAGGCAATAAACACAACCTGAAGAAAGACACGCCTCAGAACCAGGCATGCCGGAGATAGCGGATGACTGGACCAGGAGTTTCAAACAACTGTGGTTCTTATGCTCAGGATCCCAGTGGCTAATGCAGACAATGCACACAGACATGGAAATCCTAAGGGAGGACCGAAAAGAAACGCCAGGGCTCAGCAATCCCCCATCACAGATGAAGAACGCCTTTGATGAGCTCATTAGGAGACAGCACACAGCTGAGGAAAGAAAACCCCTAAACTGAAAAACAGAGAACAAAGAATGAAAAATAGGACAGCAGTTCCAAGAATCTGAACCAACTACAAACACTGTAACATATGTGGGATGGAAATAGCAGATGGAGGAAAAGGGGACGGAAGAAATATTTGAAATAATATTGCCAGGCGCCAAGCTTCAGATCCAGGAATTCCAGAGAACGCTATACAAGAAAAACATCACCTAGGGTTACATTTTCAAGCCACAGAAAAGTAAAGATAAAGAAAGAAACCTCTACTATCCTCTCTAGCTTTGTAGTACAGTTTGGATTGGGGGGTTAGACCTTGTGCTCTTTCTCGGGACCGTTTCGGCTAGCCAGGCTCTTCGGTAGCTCATACACATTCGATGTTTTTTCTATTTTGTGAAAAGTTTTGTGTTGGAATTTTGATAGCGACTGCATTGCATCTATGGGTGGCTTTGGATGTTATTGCCATTTTTAACAGCAACTCTTCCAACTCGTGAAGACAGACTATCTTTCTACCTGTGTCTTCAGTTTCTTTTCATCAAAGTTTTCTTGTTTTTAGTGTAGATATTTTACCTCCTTGGTTAAACTTATTCCTAAAATTTTTCTTTCATGCTACTGTAAATGGGACTGTTTTCTAAACTTTTTTCAGGTAGTTCACTTTTAAGCTATAGAAGTATGAGTAATAGCTGAATGTTGATCTTATATACCTCAACTTTCTGAATTTGTTGCCTTTAACAGCTTCTCGGTTTTGTTCAAGTATCTAGGGCTTTCTATATATATCTCATTATCTGCAAGCAGAAAGTTTTCCCTTCTCGTACACGCTTGCATGCCTTTTATTTTACTTGACAAGTTTCTTTGCGGTCGGAGGACCATGCTAGAGTGCAGTGCTGAGAGCGGGCACCCTCGGCTTAGTGCTGACCCGACTGCAAGCATCGCCAGCCACTCACCATCGAGTGCAACGTCCTCGCGGGTGTATTTGTGCAGGTGCATCTGCCTCCTATTCCAGTTTCCTGAGAGTTTATGGTAAAGGGTCTCAAATGACTTCAAAACTTTTTCTGCATTTGTTGATACCATTACATTAATTTTATCCTTCATTCTGAGTGTGGTCG